GCACCTGGCCATTCCTAAACGTGGGAGTCAGAGAAGTTGAAGACAGGTTGGAGAACAGGAGTTTACATTGCTGAGGATGGAGGATAGCTCTGTATCCCACTGTTAAAGCTCTGCCAAAACATCTAGCTGGTTTGTTCTTGGGCTGTGTTTTTTTGTTTGGATGGTTTTGCATGCAGAGTAAGGAATAGTAAAAGTCTATTCTGGTTTTGGCTGGGGTAGAGTTAACTTCCTTCACAGTGGCCAGTATGGGGCTGTGTTTTGGATTTGTGCTGAATACAGAGTTGATAATGCAGAGATGTGTTTGTTATTGCTGAGCAGAGCTCACACAGAACAAAGGCCTTTGCTGCTTTTCATACTGCCATGCTGGCAAAGAAGTTGGGGGTGCATGGGAGGATGGAGGGAGACACAGCAGGGACAGGTGACCCAGACTGACCAAGGGATATTCCATACCATATGACATCATGCTCAGTATATGAAGTGGGAGGAAGGAGGAGGAAGGAGGGGACATTTGGTGTGATGGTATTTGTCTTCCCAAGTAACTGTTATGTGTGATGGGTCCTTGCTCTCCTGGAGATGCTGACCAGCTCCTGCCCTAGCAGTGCATCCTGTCTGTGGAAAGCAGTGAATTCATTCCTTGTGCTTTGTTTGTGTGTGGCTTTTGCTTTCCCTATTAAAGTGTCTTTATCTCAACCCACCAGTTTTCCAACTTTTACCCTTCCGATTCTCTCCCCCATCCTGCTGGTGGAGGAGTGAGTGAGCAGCTGCATGGTGTTTGGTGGCTGGCTGGGGTTAAACTATGACAATGTCTTACTTGGAAAACACACAATCTTAGCATTCCCAAACTAACCGTAGTGTAACCATGGTTTTGGGATGGAAACAAAACCAAAAATGCAGAATGCCTACTGCAGAGCATGAACAGAACTGTGGGTACCCCTGAGAGGCAGCTTGGCTGAGACTGGAGAAGCAATGGGAACAGCATCCTTTGCTTTGCTGTCAGCTTGAACAAGTCACATGTACTTCCCAGACCGACGTTTCCCATCTCTAACCCTTGTCCTACACTTCTGAGGTCTGCAGAACATGCACATTTTATAAATGAAGCAATGTGTCATAAATCTCCTCATGACTGAAGTGCAAACTTCATGAAGCCACAGCCTGTATGTACTGTATGTCAAACTTTGTTTATTATGTGTGTACATATGTATCTCAGCATTTTACAGCTGGTCAGATGCTGCAGAAAGACATATTACCTAGTCTAAGGGGTTACTGAATCATACAGTAACTTAAGTCTAAATTACTGTATAAATAGTCAAGTTGGTCTCAGTAGCAATTCCTAAACCCCATTAGGTAGAACACATAACAGCTTTGTTGGAAAAAAGATACTTGTATGGTCTGAATATCATTAGCTAGTTGGCTGTTGTGTTTGTTGTGTTGTAAATATAGTTTTTAAGACTTGCTTTTTGTTCAGTTGAGTGTTAATATTGTTAAAAGATTAAAAACCCTACAGTCATTCTAATGTGATAATGCCATTAAGGATTCATCTACATTCAGAAACATACAGTCTTTGAGACAACAAAAATGTTAGCTGGGGCATTATGTAATTTTTGAACTAAAGCTATTGAAGGGACAGGATTAGACAAAACATGCTCTGCTTGCCCTGTAGCTGATTTGCAAAGTTGATTTGAAGCATTAAACTGACAAAATTATTAAATGTGTTGGGTAAACCTTAGGTGAAAAGATTGCAAAGCCAGGTAGGGAGGGTGTAGTCAGTGGAGTTATCCCGTGCAGCAATCAGGTCTGCAAGAAGGCAGCGCTCAGGCTACTACAGGGAAATTGAGAAACCTTTCAAAAGCAGAGCAGCACTGTGGCACCCTTCAAAGCTAAATGGAGGTTAGTGCTCTTCCCACAGCATGGAAAATGCCCTGTTGAAGCACACACCATCAGTACTGGCAGCTACATGGTGCAGCAAACAAGGACCCAACATGTGTCCTTCTGTGCTCACATGCAAGTGTCACTTGATTTTATTGAGAGATGTTATAGTCTCCATTTGAAAGTGTTTTGTTTCATCCCCCAAAATGTGGAATCCAGTCACATCACCTACCGGTTCATGTGCTGGGTGTTGGGATTTTTATTAGTGCAAAGTGTCTTGTTCAATTTACAGAGGCATCCAAATCCTTATGATTTACATTTATATACTGTGTATTTAACAGTTTTGTGCATGTGATGCTTTTAAGTTGCCTGTGCCTCTGTAATTTGCATGAGTTCTTCACAATAAAAAGCTATGGCAAATAGTATTTTTTTTAATAAGGACATCATTATAAAAGTGTAAAATTCAACAGGGAAGGTTTAGAAGTAGAAGCCAAGAAATTCCCTGTTAACATTATTTTGATGATGAAATGTCTAGTGTGTGTCCCTTTGGCCTGATTATCTTTGATTGAATTGAATCTCTTAAATCACAAATGAGGCCTGGTGGATAATTTAGACCATTATTCCCTTTAAATACAGTTTCACCTTTGTCAATTATTTTTTGCTTTCTTAGTATCACTTTTTTTCAATAAAGACTATTTGCATAAGTATAACGTTTTACAAAGGTTTATCTACCCTGCTGCTTCGTCCTCATCTCAGTGATACTGCTCTCTGCATGACATCACACTCATTTCCACAGTGACCTGCTGCTCCAGGGCATTTCTGCTGGAGCAGTGGGACTTTCTTGTAAATAAGATGCTATGCTTTCCATCACGGACTTTGAATAATTCACTGAAATTTAAGTGCATGATAACAGCTTCCTCAAAATTTCGCCTGAGCTAATCTGAGGGTGGGTTTGGTCGGTGGTGGTGTACCCTGGCAGTTTCACTAAAGGACTCAAAGAATATGTGCTATTATCTCCAAGAAAAATGTGGGTTTAATAGTAGAACTTCATGAATTGTTTATATCACTTCCTAATAAGTATTTACTGCAATTTTCTGTGCTCAGGGCTTTAGCTGCCTATGATGGTGTTTCCTAGCAAGGCCAAATGTTAATTAATTCTCTTGCATCTCATAAAAATCTTTGCAGCTGGGTACTCAACAAAAGTAAAGTTAGTTTTTCAGTGCTGTTTCAAAACTGGCTTTCATTTTCTTTCTGTAAGCACATGCAGCCTGTCCCAGTGCCAGCCAGCAGTGTCCAGGCTGCATGTGCCAGGAGAAGATTTGCAGCTGGCATCAGGGAGCGAGCTGCAGGCCAGCCTGGCAGTCTCCATCTCTGGTGCTTTCATCTAGTGCCTCCTGCCACCAGACCCCATGCCAGAGTAGCTGAGTAATTCAGTTCAGACTCAGCTGGTGGAAGAGAGTGCAGGTGTATGTTCAAGCTGGATATGGAGATAGAAAGTAGGATGTCAGCTACACAGAGAAGTAAAATAGTGAATTTCATGGAAAAGTTGTTGATTGATGGCAGCAAGAAAATAGAATAATACATAAGCTTAAATTTATTGAGGTTCTTGTGAATGAAATCGTCTGCAGCACCGTTTCAGGCTCTCTGCAGTCTTACTGTAGCTTCTGTGCATCCATTTATGATTTCTCTCCTTTCCTGTTTTAAATTATCTCTGCCTCTGTCAAGGCTAGAAACTATTTTTCCCCTCTAAAATGCCAAAAATAATATGTCCCAAGCAATATTCAATCTCTTTCCTTACACTGTTTTAACTAAGACCTTTTTAAGGAGAACAGCTTGAGATGCCACAACTTTTCTTTATCTTTCATTATTCACTTGGTAAAAATCAGGTAAAATACTATTTCATATGTCCATAGTCAAAAATCTATACTGGGCAAACACAGCAGTCATCTGTCAGGGTATTAGATGGAGAGTGGTTTATACATTAACATGCTTTGTTCATCAGAAAGGGACTTGGGAGTGCTGGTGGACAGTGACTCAATATGAGCCAACAGTGTGCACAGGTAGCCAAGGCCAATGGCATCTTGGCCTGGATCAAGAAGAGTGTGACAGCAGGACCAGGGCAGTGATCATCCCCTGTACTCGGCACTGGTGAGGTCATATGTCGAGTGCTGTGTTCAGTTTTGGGCCCCTCACTTTAAAAAAAACATTGAGGCACTGGAGCAAGTCCAGCCAAGGGCAATGAGACTCAGAAAAGGTCTAGAACACGTCATATGAGGAAGGGCTGAGGGAATTGTGTTTGTTTAGTCTTGAGAAGAGGCAGCTCAGGTGTGACCTCATGGCTCTCTACAACTACTTGAAAGGGGTTGTAGAGAGGTGGGGGATGGTCTCTTCTGCCATGGCTACAGGGAGAGGACTAGAGGCTGAGACAGGGGAGAGTCTGATTAGATGTTAGGAAAAATGTTTTCCCTGTTAGGGTGTTCAGGCACTGGAATAGGTTGTCCAGGGAGGTGGTGGAGTCACCATCCCTGGAAGTGTTTAAGAGGCATCTGGATCTGGCACTGGAGGATATGGTTTAGAGTTTAGAGGTTACAGCAGAGTGGCAGGTTAATGGTTGGACTTGATGATCTTAGAGGTCTCCTCCAACCTTGATCATTTTACGATTCTATCTTTTTGTGTAATACTCAAAGATCAGGCTCTCAGCAAAAAATGATATGTTTTGGGGGGTATTTTTGAGCAGAGAAGCAAGTAGGAATTTGGGATTTCATGCTGATTGAGATGCTGATTTGCAGGGCATTTGGACAAGCATATGCCTGTTAAAATCCATGTTTTGTTATTGCCCTTCCAGCTTTTTCTCTTCTTAAAATCGAGTAATTGTGTAGAAGTAAAATTGCTAGAAGTAAATTCTTGAAAGTAAAACCCAACTCCCAGCACTACACATCATTAAGTGACTGAGAATTGAGTTTACAGATTTAGTTCTAACAGTCCAGTAAGTTACTTATTCACCAGTGGTGGTTCTTTTGTAAGTATAGAAACTAGGTCAGCTGCATCTGCTGCAGTTTTAGGCTGCATGTAAAAGGGTGAAAGGGAATAGAAGAAAAATAATCATTGTTTGTTTTTTTTTTTCAGGGAAACTTGGTCGCTTTCCACTGAGGATGCATTCCCATGCCACTCCCGACAGCCGAGCTACCCCTCATTTTCCAAGGTCTCACCTTGCTGAAGCAGTTGCCAAAGCCAAGGCAGGTGGAGGTGGTAGTGGAAGCACTGGTGGAACTGGGAGAGGTCTTGTGGGGCAGATTATTCCTATATATGGATTTGGCATCTTCTTATATATCCTGTACATTTTATTTAAGGTAAGACCCACATAAATTGAGAAGTCAGAGAAATAACTCAAAAAATTTTGAAACAGAAATCACAATATCACCAAGTAAGTTAGGTTGGAAGGGACCACAATGGGTCATGTGGTTCAACCTCCCTGCTCAAGCAGGGCCATCCTACAGCACATGGCTCAGGATTGTGTCCAGACAGTTCTGGAATACCTCCAGTGTGGGAATATCCACAACCTCTCTGGGCAACCTGTTCCAGTGCTCAGTGACTGCACAGGAAAGAAGTTCTTCCTCATATTCAGGTGGAATTTTCTGTGCATCAGTTTTTGGTGTTACCCCTTGTTTTATTGGTTTCCACAGCTGAGCAGAGTCTGACTCCATTATCTCGGCACTTGAATCCATTAATCAGGTTGCTCTCAGTCTTCTCGAGACTGAACAGGCCCAGCTCCCTCAGCCTTTCCTCATAAGTGAGGTGCTCCAGTGCCTTAATCATCTTTGTTGCCCTCCCCTGGACCTGCTCTAGGAGTTCCATGTTCCTCTGCTACTGAGGAGCTCAGAACTGGACACAATACTCCAGGTGTGGCCTCATGAGGGCTGAGTAGGGAAGCAGGATCACCTCCCTTGACCTGCTGGCAATGCTCTTCTTAGTGCATCCCAGGATTCCATTTGCCTTCTTAGCCACAAGGGCACAGAATATGATACAGAAATTATACTCTCATTTCTGTACCTCATTCCATTTCAGCTGCACTCAAAAAAAATTCTTATGCTGGACCTTTGACCGGTGTTCCAAAGACTGAAGTATCCTGTAGGTTTTGCTATTGAAAGACTAGATAAGAACATAGGGATGGGTGGCTCTGATCCTGCATCAGCCTCTGATATCATACAATTTTTTAAGGGTTTTATTTTTTCCCCTGGAAAACATGTATATCTAGAACAATGTTAGATTAATTTTGAATATGCACACAGTATTCTTTTCCTTTATGTGTGACTATGTATTATATGTACTGTATAAGTCATGTATTGCATTATACATTTAAAGTGGGAGAGAGGGAGTGCAGTAACCTCATACCTTTTGGAACTGCAGCACCACATTGTTGGAGAATGGGAGTTTGTAAGGTTGTATTGACCATGATGGAAATTCCCCAGCTGAGGAATTGGTTGAAAGCTAGTTTAAAACAGCACATCCCAAATTCCTCTCAAGTGTCTCACATGTGATTTTAACTTCTCACAGATATTTGCTATGCAGACAAGACTTGCATGTAGGTGAAGAGAGTCGGCTGTGTGGGAGGAAGAAGTGGAAATGTTTTTTTTCCTTTGAGTCAGGGCTAAATCCAGCCTGAGCTGTGTCTAAAGAGTTGCATCTGAGTTGGACAGACAGAGTCAAGAATGAAGTGAATTGGGTGAACCAATCAAACACAGAGGAGATGAAAGAAATAGTCTGCAAATTCTGTCCAGAGAAGGGCAGTGGAGCTGGGAAAGGGTCTGGAGCACAGGTCTGATCAGGAGTGACTGAGGAAACTGGGGGTGTTTAGACTGGAGAAAAGGCTCGGGAGGGACATTATAGCTCTCTACAACTACCTGCAAGGAGGATGTAGACACGTGGGGGTCAGTCTCTTCTCCCAAATAACAGTGATAGGACAAGAGGAAATGGCCTCAAGATGCATCAGGGGAAGTTTAGATTGGATATTATGAAAAATTTCTTCACTGAAAATGTTGTCAAGCATTGTAGCAGGCTGCCCAGGGAAGTGGTTGAGCCACCATCCCTGAAGGTATTTAAAAGACATGCAGAGGTGCCACTTAGGGACATAGCTTAGTGTGAGAGGGACATGCTGTGTGAGGTTTATGGTTGGACTCAATGATCTTAAAAGTAGTTTTCAGGGTAAATAATTCTGTAGAGAGCCAACCAGTATCTTTGCTGCAGGTACAGAGTTGGTAAGGAGTAATGGCAGAAAGCTTTGCAAGGGGGAAAAGTGGGGTCACATGTAGTTCCTTCAGAACCTGCCCTTCATTTTGCCAAATGAGGCTTTTTTCCCTCCTATACACAGAAGAATGGAACAGATAAATATCCTAAAATGAAAAAATGAGTTATGCTTTCCCTATGCTTAAAAGGATCACTTGTTCCAAATGTCCTTTGGGATTTTTCAGCTGGCAAGATCTCCCAGGCATCTTTCACAGTTGCCTGTTTTTGCTGCTGGACATGCATTCTGTGGTTAGCCTCTGGCATATTTTAGTTTATTTACTTTTTTCTGTTGCCTTTAGGGCTTGTATGTTACTATTGTGGTAGCTCATAGAAGGGTAATCTGTTTTGGTCATCTTTTTTTGCTTACCAGCTGGCTTCCAAAGGAAGAACTACTGCTGCAGAGCGGAAATGCCCTACTACTACATCTGGAAACATGAAGAGGAAAATCAGTGAGTATGACTCTGAGTTATATCTGTGTAGCTGTTGACTCTGTAGAGTCCAACCAGGTTCTTCAAGTTCTGGGAACACTGTAATGCTGCTGTTTGCCCTCCCATAAAGAACAGTCCAAAAGCTTCTGTGTTGGAATGAGGAAGAGTTAAAGTGAATTACTGGCACAGTCACTTTCTAATCTCATTCAGCTAATGAGACTCTGCAATAGTAGCCTGATCCCAAACCTCCTTGGAAGCAATGGCTTTTCATGAGGTTTGCTGAATTAACTGTAAGGATTTGCTGAAAAGTTATGTAGCTAATGATTCAAAATGGATAATAGGATGTCCACCTGTAATTATTCTATAATCCCTAATAGTCCAGTAATAGCAGATGAAGATACTATAAAAAGCTAGCTTCGTTTTGTTGAATTTGTGAATTCTTAGCCATCATCAGGCACTTCCCTAATTTGTCCCTCCCTGTTTTGTTTTTTTTTTTGCAATGTGAAAGGTTTTCATGTGTGCAATAAAGAGAGCAAATAGTCTTCTGAAATGTCACTTTGAATTTTCCTAAACATTGGTGGGATAGATTCAACTGTTCATAGACACTTATTCGATAAATTAATCAGCTTGCTATTGAAGATTGGAAGAGTAGTTACCATAACAGTATTTAAATGTGTTGTGTTTAGCTGACTAAACTGTAATAGGAAAGAAAAGTACTTAGGGCTTTATAGAAAGTGCTAGCAGAGAGGTAATTTTCTTAACATAGCTGTAATTATCTTGACATTAATGTGCAGATTAGGAATAGCTAATGCACTCAGTGCTATAGATTGTGTTTTCAGTGCACTTGTACTGCATTGTGCCTGGCAATTTTGTGCAATTTATTAGTGATGGTAATTGTATTTTTTTCTCTAATGCTTGGTAAGAGAAACTACCTTTGCAGTAAGTTAAATATTTGCCATCATTATAACCCAAAGAGCTAGTGATGAAAATGATTCTGCCTTTTTCTAGAGCTCTTCATTTATATTCCTAAAGCATTCCTGGCAAGCTGTAACACAGGGAGGTCACTGGACTAGGAACCTGAAGACTGAGTCACCACTTAACACTGTGACTTGGAGGGAGCAACTTCCTTTCTCTTTGCCAATTTCCCTTCCTCTATTTTTAAAGTCTCAGACATGCAAAATAATTACATCTGTGATACATTAGGTAATGACATTCTGTGCAGAATAGAAATCTTTCTAAAAGCAGGATGTTTGTGGATGGATTCCTCCATTCCTACAATGTTGGAGTTCCATTGTACCTTTATGCTGCTTAAATGGGTGTTCTTGTGGCAGCTGAGTATTTAATTCACCCAGGCTGGTTTCATTGTGTTCTGCAGTGGGGAGCAATGGGGTCTCAGCTATAGGATTTTGAGTGTGAGCTACAAGAGGCTAACAAGGAGCTCAAGCATTTTTGCTGACATCCATTGACTGTTAATGCTTTCAGCTAAATGAAAGCCAGTATGGGTGTTCCTACATGTGTGTCTCCTACTGTGCTGTGGCCACATCTTTTGAAAGAAGTGCAACCCTGGCAATGCCGTGCTTTGCTCCCCTGGCAGGCACCATGGGGCTAGCTGTTGTTCCTCCTGGCAAGCCTGGCTCACCTGGGCAGGGTTGGATCAAGCCAACAAACCCATGAACTTGAGTCTGTGTGAGGAAGAAGTGGTTTCTTAAGCCTTGGAGTGATTAGAAAATATTCAAATCACCTTTTGTTTCTATTCCCAAGGTCATAAGAGGTAAATTCCATAAGGCTATTAATTCTGCAGTAGACAGCAAAAAACTATGGTTTTCTTAGGGAAACAAACAAAAAACTGCACAGTATTTTCTTTTCCCTAACTTTAATCTCCAGGGCTTTTCCAGCAGCCCACTCACTCGGCTTAGTGGGGGATAGCTTGAGAGCTTTTAAAAGAAGGTACTTTCTGTGTGTCCTATGGCCTTTGGCAATAGTCTTCACTTCCTTAGGCCAGCCAAAGTAGGCAGGACTCTCTAAGCTGCATGTTTTAGTTTCCTCACAGACAGTTATGTTTGGTACAGCATATGCCACCTCTGATAATGGGACAGGGATACATTTTCAAAGCTCGTACTGACTTATCTTGGTATTCTTTTTTTTTTTTTTTTTTTTTTTTTTTTTTGCAGCTGACTACGAGCTCACTCAACTCCAGGAAAGACTGAGAGAGACAGAAGAAGCTATGGAAAAGTTAATCAACAGAGTAGGACCTGTGTGTGACAGGTGTGTTGCAAATTACAGCATTTTAAGGAGAGATTCTGCTCTGATCATAAATTGAACTTTCTTGCATTATCTATATTAAAAGAGCATTTTTATTGCTACTTCAACTTCTAGAAATTTGATTTTACACATCACACTTTTTATTCTGAATTTTTCTTCTCTTCAGCATCTATATGTAAAATAAATACTTTTTTACAATTTCATTTTCCTTAAACAGAAAAGCAACTCTTCCTCCCTTCCCCCTTTGTACAGTGTGTTATTTGGGAGAAAATGACAGCTATGTGTAAACAGAAGATAAAACATCTACATTTAAAGTACATGAAGCAACTTATCCTATGTGAGAAAAGTAATATCCTGAATGGTTCTTTTCCATTTATATGGATTATTTTTCTAAATCAAAGTGCTATTAGAATCTATGTGAATTCCTGTTAGAATAACCGTAAAATATTTCTTTAAGGGCAGAATTGTATAATAATCTGTTTACATAACTTAGTTCCACCCTGTAACCAGTAAATTCATGCATTTGTTTCTAAATATAAAAGACAAAGAGTTGAGGTGATTCTCCCCCCCTGCTCTGTTCTCATGAGACCCCACCTGGAATACTGTGTGCAGTTCTGGTGCCCTCAACACAAGGAGGACATGGAACTGTTGGAGCAAGTCCAGAGGGCCGTGAAGCTGACAAGAGGACTGGAGCAGCTCCCCTATGAAGACAGGCTGAGGAAGTTGGGGCTGTTTAGCCTGGAGAAGAGAAGGTTGTGTGGAGACCTCATAGCAACCTTCCAGTATCTGAAAGGGCTACAGGGAAGCTGAAGAGGGACTCTTTGTTAGGAGCTGCAGTGACAGGGCAAGGGGCAATGGGTACAAATTGAAAGAGAGGAAATATACATCAGATATTAAGAAAACATTTTTTTCCTGTGAGAGTAGTGAGACACTGGCAGGTGGCCCAGGGAGGTAGTGGATGCCCCAACCCTGGCAGTATTCAAAGCCAGATTGAATGAAGCCTTGAGCAACTTGGCCTAGTGAGAGGTGTCCCTGCTCATGGCAGAGAGGGTTGGGACTGGGTGGTCTGTAAGGTCCATGCCAACCCCTTAGCATTCTATGATTCTGTGATTTAAAGTTTTATTATGTTTATTAATATTTCCTACAAATCTGAGATCACTATTCTGCATTATAAAGAAGCACTGGAAACAAGCCTATGTTTTTCATAAGGAGCATAAAGAACTGATCAATAGGACACTGCCTGAGTGCTGTGTTTGAAAATGGAAATACCATGAATATTGAGGTGAGGTTTGCAAGCAAAACCAATAGCTGTTCAGGTTGTAACACGTTGACCTTGTGTGGATCAGCCCAGGCCTATTTTAACCCATTCTGTAGGAGCAATTCTGTGCTGAACTTGCACATTTTGTTCATTTATGCTCCAAGCCACATTGTCTTTGAGTGTTTGGTTTTGCCCACTCTGCACCGTACCCTGTGTTGCAGCTGTGTTTGTCTCAGAGAGATAAGGTGCAGAACTTGCCCAGGTTCTAGCAGGAGAACCCCTAAGCTGTTCTGGTTTTGTTAGTGGAAGAGAAGGATACCAGTTTGACTATTACTCATGCCTGTTTTGAAGAGCTAACACAATGCTCTGTGTGTACCTTTAGGCTGACAGAAATAGTTTTATGGGCTGCCCAGATACTGTGCTGACTCTCAGGATAGGTTATTTTTTTAACTGAGAAAATCATTTAGGGTCTGATCCAGTATTTGTTCCACTCTGTGTTATTGGCTCAAAGCCCCTATTTAGTAGAACTTCCCTTCTTTGTTCAACCAAACTATTTATATAGACAGATTGAAAGGTCTCAGGGGAAGTCAGAATCTGAATCTAATAAAGTATTTTGTATGTAGCCTTTTGAAGAGGAGGAGAAAAGCACCTCTAGATGGAGCAAATAGCTATTTTCAAGAGCACCCAGACTTGGAAGCATTCTTAATCTACACTGTGATACTCATTACATTCAGTAATACTGGATGAATGTATTAGAATAAAATATATGGTTAAAAGAGAGGACTAGAGGGAATGGTCATAAGCTGAGACAGGGGAGAGTCAGATTAGATGTTAGGAAAAATGCTTTCTCTATTAGGGTGTTCAGGCACTGGAATAGGTTGCCCAGTGAGGTGGTGGAGTCACCATCCCTGGAACTGTTTAAGAAGCACCTGGATCTGGCACTGGAAGATATGGTTTAGGGGTTACAGCAGAGTGACAGGTTAATGGTTGGACTTGATGATCTTAGAGGTCTCCTCCAACCTTGATGATTCTAGGAAAGTGTAATTAGAGCACAGAATACTGAGCTGGGCTTATTCAGTCTGGATGTTGATAGATTTATATATAAAGGAAAGAGGAAGAGAGTAAAAATTACTTGAGATTTGTTTATTGATATGCAGTTAGACATAAATCCTTACAAGAGAAAAAGTCAAAGACAAAAATAACTGGTATCAAGTTTAAACTAGTGCTGAAAGATCACAGGTGAGACCATGGCCCTTTATAGTAGATATGGCAAAGCAACAAACAGATGGACAAGTTGATTAGTAGTATCCAATCCAAAGGATTTGCATTATCTCAAAACCCAATATATCACCATAACACACAGTTCTTGTCAGAATGATGAGGTCTGAGCTCCTGCCTCAGTGTCCTTTCACTATACCTCAGGAGTGTTCTCTTCTCAGCTGAACTGCTCCAGGATTCATCCTGACTATCTCCTGGAAGGATATTCTCAGAGAATGCTGTGCCATAGAAAGAAATCCTGTTTCTAAGGAAAACTATATACTGTGCTGTGTGATTTTATTCTCCTTTCTTTTGTAGCAAGTGTACATGTCATTGTCCTTTTATAGTTCATCCTGCTGATTTCCTTTTAAAATCATTTGAGTGAAGGGTGGCTGGAAGACCTCTCAATAATAGTAGCTGGTTTTCTCAGATGGGATAGCTAGCATTTCCCAGTCCTGTGTTGTAGAAGGTAGCAGGCAGAAACTTGGATTTGATCTAAAGGGGCTCCAGAGAAGCCAGACAAGGACTCTTTGTTAGGAGCTGGAGTGACAGGACAAGGCATAATGGGGATAAATTGAATGAGAGAAATTTAGATTAGATAACAGAAAAAACTTTTTTACTTTGAGGGTGGTGAGACACTGGCACAGGTTGCCCAGAGAGGCTGTGGATGCCCCAACCCTGGCAGTGTTCAAGGCCAGGTTGAATGAGGCCTTGAGCAACGTGGTCTGGTGGGATGTGTTCCTGCCCAGGGCAAGGAGTTGGGATTAGATGATCTCTATGGTCCATTCCAACTCCTTAACATTCAATGATTTTATGATGGCTCATAATGACATCATTAGAGTCTTGAGACTAATGACTGTGAGAAGTTTTGATCAGCGCCATAAGCTACAAATGTAGCATAGGTTCAGAACTACATTTCCTTATAATACTGTACTCTAATTATTACCTAACACCCTTTTAATGGCCAGAAATTTCTGTAGTGTTTTTGTACCATAATTCTTGCTGTGTGTCACTTTCATCCTGGTCTGACATTTGTTTACATGCCTTCCTTTACCTGTTTAAATTTGCAAGCTTAGTGGATAAAGGGATAAACCTTTACACCAAGCTAAAGTGCAGAGCACATGCAGATATTGAGTAGTTATCACACTGCAGACAGGTTTCTTCAGACTACTGCTGGGACAGACCAAACAGTTGGGTTTGAACTCTTTTAATAGTTTGTAGTAACAGTGGACTGAATTCTGGTGTCTAATATTTTCTAGCAGGACTCAAAATGTTACAACAGACCAGGAAAAAATGTTACTTCGACAACTCCGAGAAATTACTAGGGTTATGAAAGAAGGAAAATTCATAGATGACATCTCTCCTGAGAAGGAAGCTGAAGAAGCTCCATACATGGAGGATTGGGAAGGTAAGCAAGGGCCTTTCTTACCATTACCCTTATCAGAAAAATTGAGTAAGGATTACTTATAGTCCTAGATCCTTTTCATAACTTTAGTTAATTTTATCCTTCCTTTTCAGAAGTCTGTGCTCAAAACTTTGCAAGAGGTGTGTTTTTTCCCAACCATAGTAGAAGTAGATTTTGAGGCATTCAGCATTTCCTCTAGTGTAAACACTATATTATCTGCTGCCAAAAGTGGCATATGAATATTCACATATGCTCCATCTGCTGCTGGGGCTTGGCTGCTGTAGGTTTATATCTTTCTTTGTTGCATTTCATGACAACCAGAAAACCCTTGGAATCAGAATCAATATGTTTTTGATAACTTACAGTTTTTACTTTTGACTAGTCATTCTTTGTTTGCTCTAATGTTGTAAAAGGCAACTCCAGCAAGTCTGTCTTTTAAAAGTTCTATATTTTAATGTCCTTTCCATTCTTTGGTGTTCACTTTTGACATAAATGTATTTTTAGGTTATCTCAGTTGAATTACTTTTAAATGCAGACCTAATTTCTGGCTTTTTAAAAAGCTTTCAAGAATGATCCATAAAACACAAACAGTGGCCTTGAGCTCTGTTTTCTAAAGTCAAGTTCATGATGTCTTTTTCTAAAATGAAATGCACAAAGTCATTGACATATCTGTTTTCTCAGCTTTCTAAATAATGCTCTCTTTAGGGTGAGTCTTCAGAACATGCATCAGTAAAGATCTAAGACACAATTACTACCTGTTGCCTTCAGCAAAGCTCAGATAGTCACTTCTGAAAGTCAGGGTTGATATTCTGGCTCCCTGAAAATGAGTTTTTTCCATCATCTTCCATGAAGTCATGTTTTGCAATTTCTTGCAATAGATTTACTACTGTGATATACACGTCATTAAATGGTTGACACACTTACAGTGCTAAGAACAACTGTTCTAGCAAACTTTGCACCCATCACTGAAGTCAGTACTACTCTTTAATGCTGATAATACTTCAAGCTGCATATCACTTTGTTCCTAAGGTTATCCTGAAGAGACGTATCCTGTCTACGACAATTCTGATTGCTTCAAGCGCAAACAGGACACAATCCTTGTGGATTACCCTGACCTGAGCCAACCCTCTCCAGAAGAGCTGGCAGAAAGAATGGAGGGCATGGAAGATGAGGAGGATATTTGCCATGAAACCCTTCTAACTGATCTCACCGTGGGAAGGAGCGGTCATGATTTGATTCAGAATAAGGAAGAGGTAACTCTCAGCAGTGAAGAGAAGAGGGACCTTCATCACAGCCAAAGCATTGAGGAGTGCTGCTGTTGCTATGAGGATGATGATCCTGCTGTCATAGCAGAGAATGCTGGATTCAACTCTGAAAGCTGCAGTGAAGCAGAAGAGACAGCCCAAGAGGACGTGTCTGTGGAGTCAGAACATGAGAATGCAGCACTGGAAAAGCAAAACCACAGTGATTCAGATGAAACAGGCACACTGAGAAAACGCAACACAAAAGGACTTGATTGATAGGGGCCATCATGGATGTTACCTAGTGATAAAGTTCGAGGTCATAAATTATCATTCATGTGGTTTTTGTTCCCAGTGAAGACTTCTCGGTGTTCATCTCATTCTACCAATTTCATTTGTGTTCTAGCAGTCACATCATCTACCTGAACTGGAAGCCAATGCCCTCTTTGAAGCAATCTTGTCATGGGTTACCATGATGTTACCAACAGTGCTTTGTCCTTGATTTTTGAAGCCTTGTATCTTGGAGCAGATTATTTGGATCAGATACTTGTGATTTTTTCCAATTGCAAAGAAACAGTCCTCGGTTTTGCCCTGTGTCATCCCAGTGTTAAGCAAATGTCTCTTTTGACTTGTTCAAAAAAATGTCTGTGTGCTACCAGTTATGAAAACTAATCAAATCCCTTTATAAATAGGACTTTACCAGGATGCTGGAGGAGAAAGTATGCCTTCTTTCTCTTATCTGAATGTTAACTGATCAGCAGAACAGATCATTGTCACACACATGATTCTTTCTCAACTGTGTCATTGCTGTTGTATGGCTGAGAAACTGTTGTCACTGCAATCCACAAAACCCATGCACTACCCCAACCCACAGCCCATTTCCCAGTTGTTGTGTGTTGCTGGAACAGTAGCTTAATCCATGTTGTGTTACTTGTGTGAGCAAGACTGAAGCACTATGAATTGTTTGTTGTCTTTGCCATAACCACGGTGAAACTCACAGATGAGTGCAGGAAGCAAACCATAATGTGTGAGAGCACTGAAGATATCCCTAGAGATTAAATACAAAAATACCCCAGTGTTAAGGTTTTTCTATAAAAGTAGGGAACAGTGTGAGGGTGCCTCTCAGACTGAACCCACACCTTTCTTCTTCCTGGAAACCTGTGGATTTTTACCCTCTTGGAATGTTGTTGCTGCCACCTTGTTGAGAGGACCCCAAGCACAAGATGAGGGGGGTGCTGGAGCCAAGGCTCATGAGGGGAGGTGGAGGGTAGTGCCTGTGCCCAAGGGGCAGCCTTTCTCACACAAGCAGCATGACAGGTGGGAGAGAGCCCCAGGGGAGGAGCCCTCAGAACCTGTGACCCTCCTTCTCCCATATCTGAGGACTTTTCAGGCCACAGACCTGCCATGCCCAAACTTGATGTATTGGGCCACACTCATTGGTCCCAGTCATAGCTGTCAACACAACGGCTTGTTAGCAATGTCACCAGTCACCTGGCTGCTCCAGCACTATAAAAGCAGGGGGCCCTACAGCTGGCCCACAACTTGCCCAGCTCTGAGGCATGCCTGGGAGGAAGAGGAGCCAGAGCAGCAAGACAGAAGGCTGCCCATCTTTGTGCAGGAAGCAGCACAGTACAGCTTCCTGCAACAGCAGAAGAGGAAGGCATGTGCCAGGAGGAGGGAGTGGAGAAGGAGGAACAAAGTCACCCCTCCTGTCATGAGCACTATCACCCTTGTTTCCCTGGTCCAGGTCATGCAAAATTGTCTCTGTGCCCACCAGGTTACAGTGTGCAGCCCAGGCATGTCTGCCTGCCAGGAAGCAGCTGAAGTGGTGGCTGCTCACCTTTGTGTGGGACAGCACAGAGCTGCTTCCCGTGACTGCCAAAGAGGAAGGCACCACCCCTGGGCCTGAAAAAAGGACAATGGGTGGAGCAGGAACATCAGCCCTCACACCATGACAGCCATTGCCCATGGTCTAGCGATGGCATCCAGTGCACAGCTATGGGCACACCAGTGGCCCAATCTCCACACCTTCATGACTGGACAATAAACAAGACAAGGATGAAAATCCTGTTGTCCTCTCTTATTTGTCACTTTGGTGACAGTGTCTGTGCTCCCATGACCCCTTGAGTAGGATGCTTTGTTTGGAAACTTACTTTCTGTTTCCATGCCCACCTTCCTGCTTTGCTAGTGCCACCTTTCATTCTGGGGTTTATTTAGGCTATTACATCAACAATTTGAGACTATTTTTTCTAAGAGATTAAAAACATCATAATGAAGGCATCAAGCCCTAGCAGTTTCTTCTTTCCAAATGGTCAGACATCAGTGCCAGGTAATATTTTGGAGGTCATTCTGGGAGTTAGTCAAAAACACTTGAGAGACAATGCAACTGTTGGTCATAGCCAACATGGGATCACAATGGGCAAGTGTGGTTTGACTGAAAACAAACTTGTGCATCTCATGGTCTGGAGCCCATGGATATGGATCCACCATCTATTAAGATCATGAAGAACAAGTAAAAGTGCATCCACCTCTGGCATGGCTCTCCTGGCACCACAATGCCATGCCAGGGCTCCCCACCATGCATCAACACAGCATCTCAGGAGTGCCCAGCCAGCACACTACAACCAGCCCAGCCTCCACACCTCCTGTCAGATGGGAGCCCCAAGCTCCACTCCTGGCCATCCTGCTGGCTCACCTGTTCCATCTCCCAGCATGAACAATTGTGTTGTTGATTGCCACAGGTGGTGTAAGCTCTGCTTTACCACGCCCTACTCCCACCCTTCCTTCCCTCTGCTCTGAGCCTCAGGAAAAGAGCATGAGTTGACTTGGCTTCTGCCAGACTGCTGTGCTAAGGCAACAAGAATTGTCTCTCAGAGGGTCACTGAGGTCCCTGGGGCCTGGAGGTGGGGTTTCTTCAGTCTGAGGATGAGAAGGTTCCCTGAGGGATGGGTGAAGGTGAAGCCAGACACTGCATGGTGGTCACCAAAGAATAGTAGCAGATCAGGCCAAGAATGTAGACAGCTGTTCCTTTGCAGAAGCAGCACATGGCAGCTCTGCCAGATAGAAGTGCTGGCCTTCAGCATGAAAGTCCCTTCTAGCTGCTTCATAAGGAGTTCTTTTCAAGACTGGAAAGTAAACAAAATTTTTTTCAAACCCCAAACCATTAAACCAAGAAAATAGCAGTAAACATGCATTCCTTCTCTCTTGTTTGGGACTTTGGTGACTGTGCCTGGACTCCTCTGTCCCCTCCTGGTCTCCTCAGCCCAGGAAAGACACTGGGGTGTGGGCCCAGCCCAGGGCCTTGGAGATGGTGAGTGACCAGGGCCCACAGCACACACGGGCAGGCTGAGTAAACTGCCTCTGGTGATGAGGGTGGTGAGGCAGTGGAGCAGGTGTCCCAGAGAAGCTGTGGATGCACCATCCCTGGAAGTGTTCAAGGTCAGGTTGGATGGGGCTTTGAGCAGTCTGGTCTACTGAAAGATACCTGTCAGCCTCACCTCTGTGCCTGAGAAGATCATGGACTGGATCCTCCTGGGAGCTCGGAGTGAGTGCAGGATATTAATCCCTGGGTCCAGGACTGCTGCCTCCATCAAAACCTTGGGGTTTTAAACCATGGAAGAGCCTTTGAGAGAAAAGTTATGGTGGGGCCTAATGGGATCCACCTGTCCCAATGGGCAAAACGTATCTTTGGGTGTAAACTGGTGAGGCTGATCTGGAGAACTTTCAGTTAAAATCCATGGGGCTAGTGGATGCTGACTGTATTGCAGTAGGTATGCCAAGGGTTGACATGGCATTGCCAGAGGGTGGCAATAAAGTTACACTGCTCCTGGGAGCACAAAGGGCTCAGGAACAGATCTCAAATGCTTGTACACCATCACACACAGTATATGAAACACACAGGATGAACTGTGAGCATTGTTCAGCTCACAGAGCTGCACCATTGATATTGGTGAGACTTGGTGGAATGAGTCTCACAATTAGAGTGCTGGGGTGGAGGGCTGCAGGAGGGATAGGCAGGACAGGTGAGGTGGAGGTGTCACACTATATAAGGTAGAGGTTTGATTGTACAACCCTTACAGTTAGTCATGTTGTGGTTGAGAGCCTCTGGATGAGAATTAGAAGGATATAAAATGAAAGAAATGTTATGGGTCTCTATTACCAATTGCCCAGCTAGGATGTAGGCACTGATGACTTATTCTGTGGTTAAGGGTAGAAATTTCAGGATTGGTAGTCCTTGCCCATACAGGAGATTTGAACTTTGCAGATATCAACTGGGAATATCATACTGCTGAGATAAGCAGGTCTTGGAAATTTGAAGTTTGTAGGTGATAACTTCTAGTCAAAGGTACTGAGACAACAAGTGTTTCTATGCTGAGTGAGTAGCATGACCAGGCCTTGATACAGCATTGAATATGAAGTGTTAAAAGAAACTTTCCTGTCTGACCATTCAGGAGCCACTCTGGCAGTCACATTCCAACCACCAAAGACTTTCACTGCTGGGACTGAAGCCCCTTCACATTGGGTGGCTCCAGCAGTCCTTACAGGAGCCCACAAAACTTTTAAATGAACTCGTAGGCTGAAGGAATCGCCATACATTAAAACACTGTCTGTAGCATACAATTTTGAATAGTTTATCACATAATCTTGCAAAATGCTTATGAGTTTGTACTGGCACAAGTCATTCCTACAAAAGGTTAGGAAGGGCCCATGTCATGTCCAGAGTCACCACTGTTCCACTTGTCATTGAGATTTATGTGGTCCTTGTATGAGTGAGGGAAATATAAAGCAATTCATTTGTGTGTAACACACTAAGCTTTCCATTTAATAACAAAAGTTTAATTCCTAAGTCCTGTCTGTTTTTTGACCTTGCTGTCTTCCATTGTTAGGTCCTTACTGAAAGGTCATTTTTGGTGGACAACTAGAAGTTCCAGAATTTCTTTTCCACCCCCTGAGCATAGGTAACAGTCCCCACAGACACACCAAGCACACCTCGCACTGGAGTGTGAGTCAGGAAATAATTCTCTCATAGCATTAGTGCAAAAACAAAACAAAATGAAAAACCAATGAATTTTTATTTAATAACACAGAGACTGGTTGTTAGGACTCCTTTTAACACATGTGGCAGAGTTAAAGGCTTTGTATTTCTTTGCAGCACTAACAGAAGAGAATGATACTAATGCAGGTTGGCTTTGTGGTGTCAGAGAGCCTCAAGAGCTCAGCCCTGAGGACTCAGTGGCCTTGGCAGCTCTCCCCAGGTACCAGTAAGTGCTCCCTGAATG